AGCTATCTATTGATAACAAAATATTTCTATTTCGGCACCGAATTCAATAAGTAAGAGCGACACGTTCTCCATCACGTCAGTCCGTAGTAACGATATCCGTAATCGGTTTTGTGTACCGTGATTTCTCGTCGTAGGAACCATTTTCAAAATAGACATTTATATACCATTCGATAGCCCTTTGAAAGGGCTACATTTTCCACTATTTGTATTTGAATTAGAAGCAACTTCAATTTTTCACCTAATTTCCGCCTGAATGCCCACTGTGCTGTGATACAGTGGTATAGAGACGAGATTGCTAATCTCTATACCTACAGAGTTTGAACCTCTGCAGGAGCGCTATTTCTTTTTTTCTCTCAATTCAAAACTCGACACACTGTCCTTGCACATACAGCTTGATGTGTTTCGCTGAATGTTGTGTCCTTAACAATAATCATCATTTACCCGGACCTTGTTTTGTTCAGATTTCTGCTGTGAACAGTATCTTGTTTAAGATCTTTCCTCTGCAGATTATCACGACTATCTGGAAATGTGCACTCAGCTAAAGTCATTTTCTGTGATTGCTATTACAGCTGATATCAACTCGAGGTCATCAAAGCGAGGGCTCAGTGGCAAGTACAAGAGTAAGAAGTAAAGAAGAAAAACATATGCTCACACAAGGTTCGGTAAGTGATAGAGAACAGAAAAAAAATGCATTGTCATGCTTACTAGGCAATCGCTGAAAAAGAGAAGAATATAAAAGGACGTGTTCTGTCATACATGCAGTATCTTCTTTTATCGGAATTCTATACACAACAAAATGGCGCTGTCGAGTAAACAAACTATTCCTCGTACACAATCAGCACTTCAATGGGTGAAAGTCAGCGACAAAGATCCATTCAAATAGACGACATCGGCTCCTGTTGTTCAACCATCGGAGTTGGGTGATAATCAAGTTCTACTTCGAAATCGAGCTGCTGCTCTTAACCCGGTGGATGCTAAGATGGCAGTAGTGAACTTTAGCAATACAATACTGCCTGCCGTCACTGGCTACGATATCAGTGGTGAAGTGGTCGCTGTGGGGAAAGCCATCAAGGATTTGAAAGTGGGCGACGAGGCTTTTGGCTTTTTGAGCATGAATTCAAGCGGTGGAGGTGGCGCTTTTCAACAATATTCGGTAGCCGATGCCGATCGAATTGTCAAGAAGCCGCAAGGTCTTAGCCACACGGATGCATCGACTCTCGGCATTGGTTTCCTGTCAGCTATGGTACGTTGCTTTTTTAGTGTACACTCTCAAACTAGAATGTTATTCCAACGGATGATTTTGAGGAATATGGAGTAGTTTTCGATCATTCAAGCTTTTCGAGTTATTCATTGTGTGAAAACTTATTTGCTGTAGGATGGACTGCGACAAGTAAAGATTAATTCATCCACATCGATCTTCGTTCCTGGTGGCTCAGGTGGAGTTGGACATTTTATTATACAGGTTGCTCGGATCTTGGGTGCTGGTCAAATAATAACATCAGCCTCGAAAGAAGAAGGTATCAACATCCTCAAAGAACTATACAAGATCAAAGATGTCATCAATCACGCCACAGAAAATGTTGTCGATCGAGTCCTCGAGCTCACCGGTGGTCAAGGTGCCGATATTGTTTTTGACACCACTTATCTCGAATCGAGTTATGCCAAATCAACATTAACTGTCAAACGAGGTGGATCATGGCTTATTCTCAATCGTCGCATTCTCGATAAAGATAGCCAAGCAATGAAAAATGTTGAACAACGCGGAGCCAACCTGATCCAAGCAGATGTATCACGCTACACACTGGGACCTGAGAAGGCACAAGTCAAGTCATTCTTTCAAGAATCATTAGTTCAAGGTGCTAAATGGGTTGAAGAAGGAAAGCTCAAGCCTTATGTAAACAAAATAATTAAACTCGAAGAAGTGGAATCGGCGCTCGAGCAACTGACGCAGGGCAAAGCTGGATTTGGCAAGGTTGTGGCAGAAATTTCTCCAAACTGACCGACAAGAAAAGCGGACGATAGCATATTTTGAAGTAATAAATGTTCTATTTCGAACTGATTTGTTTGCTTGTGTGTAACATCCGTGCAAAAGAGCAAACACGGATATTCAGCAACCTAAGCGTCCGGACAAGAATTTTCAATTAGATCTTTTATTTTTCCGAACACAACGGAAATCTTTTACGAATAACAGAACAAAAGAAAAAAATATCGCTTTCATTTAGTTTCATAAAAAAGTCTATAACGGAAATACAGCTCTAGTGAACTTCTCATAAATATAAGCATTTATCATGAAAATGTAGGAGGCAATCTGTACATTAGAGTGTGCCATTATTTTGCTGTAAATGCATCACTATTCGAATGCCAAAGCAATCAGCCCAGTTTGCGACGACACAGAACATGCTAAATGTCGCGTTATTTTCATTAGTATTTTCCCCTGATAGAGCCCAATTTTTGCCATTCGGTGGGGATTTGTGGTTGAAAAAATATCTTTATGGTAGTTAATGAGATTTTCATTCGTTTCTTAACTCTTCTTATTCCTTTTTATGGAGAAAGTATAAATCTTATGACACCCCTCCCGCCGCCCGGGTCAGAAATGCCGATTTTCGTCAAAAATATCAATTTTGAGAAAAGCACATGCACAGATAGCCCAAAGTGTCTACTTTCTAATGGTATAATTTTTGCATCGATAGGATAGGATTTTCATAGGTTTTGAGCGAGTCTTCTAGAACTCCTGTAGCAAAAAAATTGCTGTTTTGCACTTGTATTGCATAAGCGCATGCATTTGGCGCACTTCTCCGCTCATATGTTCATTAGAGCTGCTATGACCGGTAACCTATAGCAAAATATCAACAAATTATTAAACGCTCAAACATTTTTTAAGTAAAACGCATTTAACAGAATCAAAACTTATTTGACATTTTTCTCAAGACTGTGTTTTAGCTTTAGGGCATTCGCCACGTATAGGAATTCTCGGTAATGATACATCGGAGAAAGAAAATTTTGTTTCTGATTTGTAGATAACACCTATAGCTAGGAGTTGACAGAGATCGATTTTTAAATTATGCTTCTATTTTTTATAGAAATAAGGATTTCTAAGAAATCTTCTAAGAATTTTTCGCATTTTAAAGTTCTATTAAGCGGGGACAGGGTTGTCCAACGATCTATGTTTATAGTTTCATAGGAAATAATTTCGAAATTACTTTTTTAAGGTAAGAGATTATAATTATTACGTGCTAATCCAAGCTAATTGATGGTATATATTATTCGATAGACATTTTCAAGCGCTACACAACCCTGTACTTGCTTTCTCAAAAATCTACTAATTAGCAGTTAGTTTAACCGATTTTTAGATATATTGGATGTCTAAACGGTTTATTACCGTACGCCTACAAAAGTCATTTTTTAAATAACTTTTGATTGGCAATAACTAGAGAGTTGCGGTTTTCGTCATGCGATAGCCAAGACATTGACAGATCTTCTGTAAAAAAATGAGCATTTCAAAACTTGTTGAAAATCCAATTTTCCGAACGGCCTCTAAAAAATTGAGACCTAACTCTGAAACTCGCAGTGTAAATCCGTGTTTTGGGATTCTTTACCGAAAGTGAGCGTTGCCATCAGATTCAGTGTGGCTGAATACGTATGTTTCAATATCACTGGAAGTAACCGGGTACCAGTGCTTGAACTTGAAAGAAATCCCATATCACCCATGAACCACGGCACCCAGAATCTTGTCTGGCACCCGTTCTGTAGGAAACACTTTGGCTTATCTAGCGATGGAAAAAAATCAGTTTATTTCTGAGTTTCAGTTAGGTCTCGATTTCCCCGAGATCCGTTGGAAAACCGAATTTTCAACAAGTTTTAAAATGCTCATTTTTGTGCGATGTCCTGGCTATCGAATGACTAAAACCGCAACTCTCTAGCTTTTGTCAGTCAAAAGTTATTTAACATCAACGATGTAAAATCCATAAAATCATAAATTAAAAAATGACTTTTGTGCACACGGTAATAAACCGCTAGGGCATCCAAAATATTTCCACTTAAAAGAACAACGAAATTAAACTAGGTAAAAACGTTTAACTGCGACAACTTTTCAAACTATCATATGTGCTTTTCAAAAGTCTGGTGAAACCGATGAAATCATGATTTTCTTCTCGAAAACGGGATTTGAATTATTGAATGTATTCTTCTTGTCGCCGAATGACAACAGTCTCGGAAAAAATTATTAAGAGTTAGAAGAACAAATGCATAAAGCTGGTTGGACATCTTACGATCAAATCACAAGCATCAAACAACGTATAAATATCCGCGAAACAAAGCCAAGGATTCGTTACTAGAATATCTAATTGACTCGGCTTTTTACCGTTATCGACTAGCGTATCTAATGCAGTTATCGAGTTTTGGTGTTTTTATTTTATTCATTTCTGACCATAAATCATTTGTGCGAGAATCGGCTCGTGCAGAAGGTGAACCAACACGTCCATTTTCTATTATCGGATAATCGTCATTAACTGCTTCAGAATAAGTTACCAATTTTACCATTTTTTATCATCTAACTGGACATGACTAAAATATCTACTGTCAGTAGATATTTTAGTAATTGATTTAGTAGCGCTAATTTGAGACAATGTAAGAATAAGTGTATTTGTTTTGCTTACAGATGACACCGTGTTATCAAATTCTTGAGTTAAGGATAATAAAAATTCAAATATAGTTCATGCCAATTAAAAGATTCACCTAACGCGCCACAATTCTAATATGTTATATTATGCAAAAACAAAATTATAATGCACATATAACTCCTCCAAGGGACAGAAAATATCTTCATGTCAGTTTTGCTTCAATTTTTGAGTATACACTGTGCCATTTGTGCGATTAAAACATGGAAGAGAAACGTTGAGTCATCGAAGCAAATATTAGCGATCATATTGCTCTTATGTGAAAATATTCTATAATTTATTCACAGAACAAACGAAATAATTGCATATAACACAGAATGAAACATTTTTCTCTCCTACACTTTCATATATAATTTATATAAAAACAGAAAACTTAGATGTGTAGTAGTTGATTTAAATATAATTCTGTCAAGGATATTTTTTCTCATTTCATTTAATTCACTGCTGTTGATAACAAAAAGAAAAGGTGATTCAGTTTTCTTTTTATAAGATAAAAATGCAAGAGTTTTTAAAAGTTCAAGCTGAAGATACCGAAACTGGACAACGAAATTTATTGTTAAATGATCGATTTTGTATTACACTTCTGCCAATAGATTTACCAACACGCTCACATCGGAATTGTCTTAAATGTAGTCTTTTATTCTATAATACACTGGCATCAATTATTTTTTGTTCATTTGATTTTATGATGTTAGTATTAGGCATGAAATATAATCATTCAAAATCAGACTGTCCCATACAACCCTATTTAGTACAATGGTTAATTCTATTTGGTTCTGTAGGTGTCATCATTTGTGGTTCAGATATTCTCATTGGTGTGTGTACAATACAAAATCGTCCAAACATTAATTTATGTACATATTGTTTATCACTATTGAAAATATCCTGTTCATTAATAAGAATAATATTATTGATTTTAGGCGCTATACTTGTTTATTCAATTCGAAATCAAGTTCAATATGATTTAACAATCGCAAAGGAAACCTATTGTAATAGAACATTATATGAATGGACATGTGCATTGATTATTGTACAATTATTCTTTTGGATTTTATCTGTTATAGTTCAGTTATGTTCACAAATATTTGCTAGTGGACGACGAATAGAACAGATATGAAACTCAAGAGATTTAATCTAAAGTTCCAGTCGTTGACTGCGGTCTTCAACTAATATATATGTGTGCGTGTGAGTCAAAGCATTTTCTCTCTTTTTACACAATCCGACACCTTTTTCTATCGAAGACTGGTTATTGCGCTTTCTATTATGTTGGTATTATTGTTTTTTACCGCATTCTATAAATATGTCCAAATTCGCTACGAATAAACATTGTATTTTTTGTAGCAGTTGAACGGTTGTGAGACAATAACAACGGGTGATTTGTTTTTGTCTATTTTATTAATGTGACTGGTTTCGAATTCTTCTTCAGAGGTTAACAAAAAAACTGCAAAAGAGAAAACACAGATATTTAGCAACTTATAAACGTGTGGGCAAGACTTTTCAATGAGATTTTTTGTTTTCCAGAACAAAATGGAAATCTTTTCCAAATACAAGAACAAAAGCAGAAATATAGCTTTCATTTAGTTTCATAAAAAAGTCTATAACGGAAACAAGGCCCTAGTCCAACTTCTCATAAATATAAGCATTTATCGTGAAAATATAGGAAACAAGTTTTAATCTGTACATTAGAGTGTGCCATTATATTGCTGTAAATGCATCACTATAGTCAGAAAACGTGTTTGAGCATGGTTATCTAAGTAAAAATCGTAGGATTTGCTATGGTGCTATGTAAGTATCTGTATCACGCAAAACATAGCTGTCGGTCCACTGTTGAAAAGCAATAGAGAGAGAAAAAAGCGGAACTTTCCGTCGGCAAAATTGCACTGTGAGAACATCTACATGAACATGAATATAAAAATACAGAAATAATAAAATAAAAAAACTAACAATTACATTATTATAAACATTTAGATCATGTAGATGCTTGTCGTTATAGGTATAAGCGATCAGTCATTTAAAACTTTGTTCTGCATCCTAAATCAGATTTTGCATTTTAGCCCCATCCATGAAATAAGAGATTTAACTGATTCAGTATGAAAAAGTGCAGATATAAGTAGATAGCAAACTCCATATAATAAGAAAATCAGCGAAAAGTGTGATAAAAGATGTCAAAACATATTTATTTTCATTTTATATGACATTCGGTTTGTTGAAAGTGAAGAATAAACAAAGTAAATAAAATAGTTACTTATCGATATACATACTTTTAATATATAAAGTGTTTTTGCACTAAAACTTTTCAACCAAATGATTCTCTGATACAACGCGTCTATTAGAATATGTCTAGTTTTAAGTTCAAAGTTCGGTAAAAAAAACTTTACCGGAGAAAAATTCGGTAAAAAGTATTTACCGGACCTTCGGCAAAAAAGTTTTTACCGTTACCCCGGTGATCTCATTTTCCGGTAAATACCGCGGTAAATTTAGTAGGGTAAAAACTCTTTTACCGTTACCGACTTTTTGTCTCGATAAAAAAACTATTACCATTCATTTTTCCGGTAAATTTTTTTTATCGTTGTCTCGTTTCAATAAATGTTGTTTGCTTCAGATAGGACCGTATATTATATAATCGGCCTAGAGGTAAG